ATCAACTCTTTGGTGTTGGAAAAGTATGCCTAATACCCCATGGACTGCCCAAACAACAGATATGTCTTGCTAAAAGTGTAGCAGGAGTGCTCACTGGACTCAAGGCGGTCCAGGTTCATCTCACACACTTTGGATATATTGCTCAGAGAGGCTATTCCTTGGAAAATGATATTGTGTTTAGAAAGGTAGGAAGTCAATGAAAAACAGATCTTCAACAAAATGGATTAGCATAATGGCTGCAGCAATGGAAACAAGTTTATCAGCGATAATAAAGGATAGAACACGCTTCAGATACATTGATTCATGGTTCGTAGGGTCACAGAGTCATACTCAGATTGCTGGCACTTAAGAACAACCACAGTGACTTATATTCAAAATATATGTTGACCATTAAGTTTCTGACACTTTTGGGTTTTAGTAAGAGAGATAATACAAACAGATATGAAATGGCATGAATTTTCTGAAATTGGAATGTAAAGTCTTTGCTAAAGTAATATTTTATGTTAATTTCTCTCTACTTATTTGAATGCCCTCATATTTAGCAGATTAGAACAAAAGTTTACGTATTAAATCCAGTGGGAGTTGACAAATTGAGAAGTTATTTAAATCAACTCCACATCTTACCACAGAGTGTTTTTAGCATCATCTCAAATGGATAGTCCCTGAATAATGAAATAAATTGTATTTCTAAATTTCATTCAGAAAGCCTACTTCCTTATGTATGTGTAAAAAACCTTAATTATTTTCTTGGTGAATATTATTCAATTAATACTCTAAAAAAAGAGAAGGATATCAGACAGGAAGTAAGAAGAAAAGAACATTTTTCGGAGATGGAGACATGCATGACCTGTAACATTTAATGAAGTGGCCTGTTGCTTCAGTGGTTGAGCAACAAACTTCCTAAGGACTGTGCCACCACCTCCGTAATCTCAGAACTTCAGTGTAGACAAGTCTGTTCCAGATCGTTGTGACCCTCTGAGGCTGTAAATCCTTGGAGAGGAGACTGCTAATCTTTCTTCCAAGAGCAGTTGGAATATGTTTCTTGTTATTTCATTTCTCACTATTTTTTTTACCATTGAAATGTAAAAATAACCAAAAAGTGTTTAGGAAATTAGCAAAGAATACTTTATGTCCAGAAATAAATATAACACTAAACAAAATAATAATAATAATAATAATAGCTACTTATTAAGCCCAACATAGACCCAGTGGAGACAGAATTGTGGGATTGTCTCTTTTTGCTTCTTAAGTCTGATATAAATCAGTGTAATCAAAGGGAAAAAATGAAAATATTCTCCTTGGTGTTTTTGGTTTGGATGGTGGTGTCTAGGGTTTTTTTCTGTTGTTGCTCTTTTTTTATCCTGTAAAGTGCACTTTCACATAGTGACCTAGTTTACAACAGATCAAATCTTGCTCAATTTTGTACATCATTTCATCTTTGTGCTTAAGACCATGTTACAGTCACATTTAGAATCTACCTCTTTCCCTGACCATCTTCCTCAGTATGAAAGACTTTTCACAGGATTGGAATTTTCATTAGGATTAATTTTTTTTTAAGTACACTGAGAATTTCTACTTTTAACAACATTGAGTGTTCTGTCTAGTAACATGGTTTGTTGTGGGTTTCCCCCCCACTTATTCAGATCTTATTTCATTTATTGAATTTTCTGGTTTTTACTTCAAAAACCTCTGGAGTCTCTTATTCCTGGGTAGGCCTTACAGATTCACTCACTGATCTTCTCAGATGTTTGATTAGTAATCATTTCCTCATAAAGTTCTCCTAAAGATCTTCAGTAAATTTTTGAATCTCATTCTGCCTAATTACCCTCCTTCATTTTCATGTTGTTGTTATGTGTCATCCAGTCACCTGCAACTCATAGTGACCCAATGCACAATGGCTCTGACTCCAGCTCTATTCTGAGCCAGTGTAACCGTCTCTGACACACTTATCCTCATTTCCCCAGTTCCAGTGTCAGTCTATCTCATTTGGGGTCATCTTCTCATGTGCTGTCCCTCAACATTTCCAAATATGATATTTTTCTTCAGAGCCTGAGTCCTCCTGGCTGTATGTGCAAAGTATGTGAGATGAAGTCTCAAAATCCTTGCCTCCAAGAAGACACTTAGTATCACCCTCTCCTGGACAGATCTGTTAGTTCTCTTGGCAGTCAACGGTATGTCCAATATTCTTCTCCAATCCTACAACTCAAAGGCATCAATTCTTCTTCTGTTATTATTTTTTTTCCATTTTTTCCTTCTGTTATTCTTGGTCATTGTCCAGCTCTCTGATGCATAGCAAGTAATTGTGAAGACCATGATCTGCATCAGATGCAACTTACTCTCTAGGTTAAAATCTTAGCTCTTCAGGCCTCGGGAGAGATCCCTGACAGCAGATTTTCCCTGTGTAATTTGTCTTTTGATTTCATGACTGCTAGTGCCAAGAGTGTTGATAGTACAACTGAGCAAGCTACATTTTATCATATTTGCACTTTTAATTAAGTCTATTAATTTCCCTGTTTGAAAGAAGTCTTTAGAAATGACCAATGGTCAATGATTAATGATTAATGTAAAGCATTTGTTTATCAAAGAAAATTAGTCTATTAATAAGTATTCAACCACCTTTTGTGTCTTTTACTATGTTAAGCATTGTTGTTGTTGTTGTTATGTGCTGTCGTGTCATTTGCGACTCATAGCGACCCTATGTACAACAGCCCTAAAAATCCTGCTCTATCCTGTGCTAATTGCATTGCCTCTGACACACCCATCCTGATTACCCCAGTCACTGAATCAATTCACCTCATAGAGGGCCTTCCTCTCCTGCGCTGTCCCTCTACCCTCCCAAACATGATGTCCCTCTCCAAGGACCTGTCTCCTCACAACATGTCCAAGCATTAGAGACATGTTAAGCATTAGAGATAAAATATTGAATATAATATGTGGAGTATATGTGTGAATATACATATACATGTATATATTTAAAATAAATAATATAAGCATACTTTATAAAAATAGACATTTCCATTAAAGAAGTGTGCAAACAGTCTATGTGTAAAAATATGTAGAGAAGTCCCTAATTTGATTTAAAATGAAATATGAGATGCAATTGGAAGTATAAAGTGGAATAATCATTATTAGGCCATAAATTATACACTCATTTTCATTATTCACTCAAGAAATTATATAAAATTATATTAAGAGACTTCTTTGACTTACAGAAGAAAAATATGACTCAAATATTTAAAAATGGAAATGTTTGTCCAATAAAAAATATTTTGCTCCTTAAGAGTAGAGACTAAAAGTTGTGACTCAGAGGGTGACCGGTAAGTATTTAGGAATCCAGAAGTAAATACCATTTTAAAAGACAAGCATCATTCTTTTGAGGAAAGCTGCATAGATATGGAAGTTGTTGTTAAGTATCCTCAATTCCAGTATAATTTAAATACATTCTATATAAACCAGATTGAAATGTTGCGGTTTTCTGCAACCTCTTTAGCCTTTTAGCAGGCTCAAGACCATTATTGCAGTCACTATCCATTTAGGTTCTTCCATCCTTTACCGGACACTCTACTTTTCCAAGCAGAGCATCCTTTTCTAAGGACTTGTGCCTTCTGGCAACATGAACAAAATACAAATTGAAATTTTATTATCTTTCCCTCTAAGGAACACTTTAGCTAAACTTCCTTCAATCCAGTAACCTGTGTCATGCAGATGACACAACCTTACTTGCTGGAAATGAGGAAGACTTGAAGCACTTGTTGCAGAAGACCAAGAAGTGCAGCTTTCAAAAAAAAAAAATGCAACTTTCAATAACGATTGCATCTCAATGTACATGAAACAAAGATTCTTACCACTGGACCAATAGATAGCATCATGATGGATGGAGAGGAGATTGAAACTGTCAGCAATGCCATCCTGCTTAAATCCAAAATGATCACCCCTGATACCAGCAGTCAAGAAAACAGAAGATACAGTACACTGGGAAAATCTGCAGTTAAGGGCCTTTCCAAATTATCAGTTTGAGGACTAAGGTGTGTCTGATTCAAGCCATAGTTTTTCTGATCACTTGCTCTGCATCCAAGAGCTGGTCAATGAATAAGGATGACAGAAGAAGAACTGATGCCTTTGAGCTGTGGTGTTGGAGAAGAGCACAGAACATCCCATGGATGAACAAAAGGACAAACAGATACGTCTTAAAGAAGGTGAGGCTTCAGTGCTCTTTGGAGGCAAGAATGACGAGGCTTTGCCTCACATCCGTTGGCCATTTTGCTAGGAGGGGCTATTCCTTGGAGCAGGACATAATGATAGGAAGAGTGGAGGGTCGGTGAAGGAGGAAGATCCTCGACCAGGTGGATTGACACACTGACTGCTGCAATGGGCTCTTGTGTGTCAGGCAGTGTGAGGATGGCGCAGGATAGAAGAGGGTTCAGATCTTTTGTTCATAGAGTCACTGTGAGTCATACTCAACTCGATGGCACATAACAACAACAAGAAGCATCATGAGTTATCAAATTTTCTTTTCCTTCTTTAGAGATGAGAGTGTTTTTAGTTGCTGTGAAGTTGATTCTAAACCCTGGATTCACCATGTATTAAATAACATAACTTTTCCCTAGATTTTCATTGGATGTAAAAAGAAGATAATAAGGCATTGTTTTCCCATGATACTACCAGTGGTTTTGATCCCTAAACTTCTAGGGAACACTTGCAACACTTAGGTACATTATTTAAAGATTATAAGAACAAACCAATTCAAAAATGTATATTCAATTCATAATTTGTATTTATTTACTCCCAAAGAATTGGTTGTTACATACATGTTTATTTTCCTTGGAAAAATTGGTGTATTTTTTTTAAAACTAAAATGATTGAGCATTTTGAATTGAGGTAAATGCACTGAGATTTTCCTGTAGAAATTAACAGATTTTGAAGAACAATACACTGTCTCTGCAACTAACAAACTCCCTATTAGGAACAAATAAAACTTCTATGACAACATAGTTATATATTTATAACAATTTGAGTGATTTGCATGACTTTTTCATGAACCTCTTCAGTGCCTCCTTCACATCCTTATTCCTTAGACTGTAAATGAAGGGGTTCAGCATTGGGATCACAAGCGTGTAGGAAACTGAGGCCAGTTTATCAGTGTCTAATGAGTGGTTGGTTCTTGGTTGCAGATACATGAAAAGGAGTGTCCCATAGAACACAGTGACAGCTATCACATGAGAAGTGCAAGTAGAAAAAGCTTTTCGCCTCCCCTCTGAGGATTGTATCCTCAAAATTGTCACGGCAATATTAAAATAGGATACTAGAACAACGATCATAGAAAAAAGCAAATTGGTCCCTGAAAAGGTAAACACAGCTGTTTCTGGAACGTAAGTATCAGAATAGGACAATGCTAACAAAGGGACATTATCACAGTAAAAATGGTTGATTATGTTGGAAGAACAGTATGATACAGAGAACACACAGGAGGAGACAGTCAGTGCTGTGGTCAGACTGTAGAGGTAGGTGAGGGACACGAGCAGAAGGCACATCTGCGGAGACATCACCACCATGTAGAGCAGAGGGTTGCAGATGGCCACGTAGCGGTCGTAGGCCATTGCTGCCAACATGAGTATCTCTGCCACAATAAAAACAGAAAATCCGCCAAGCTGAGCTGCACAACAGTAGTAGCAGATGGTTTTTTTCTTACCCATGACATTGTTTAGCATTTTGGGGACAATGAGAGTAGAATTGCCAAGATTGATGATAGCTAAATGTCGCAGGAAAAAGTACATGGGGGTTTGAAGTTGAGAGTCCACGCTGGTGAGGGTGATGATGCCCAGGTTCCCGGCCAAGGTCAGGCCATAGTTCATCAGCAAGACAAAGAAGAGGGGGGCCTGGAGCTCTGGACGATCTGTGATTCCCATGAGGACGAATTCCGTCACTTGTGTGCAGTTCCCTGGAGCCATTTATTGTTTTTGTCTGTTTGTTGTTGTTTTTCTTTAAATGAGGAAAATAGAGATTAAAACTTATATTTTGTCAGGAAATTATTCCTAAAGATATAATGTGATTTTTCAGATCTTAATGGGTTTTTTGTGCTCTCCACCTACCAGAAATTTCAGGTAATGCAACCTCCTTGGAGACCATCTGAAGATTTTTGGCATTGTTTGCCTAAATTATTTATTAATTCATTAAGAGATATTGTTTTGATTTTATACTCATCTGGTGATATAGTTTATGGCCAAAAAATTAAGAGATATTGTTTCGATTTTATACTTATCTGGTGATATAGTTTATGGCCAAAAAATTGCGAGTCTCCAGTGGACTGACTCCACCAGACGCTCTGTGAAAGAAAGACAAGTCTCGTCGTGTTGAGACTTACAGTGTTGGAAACCTCACAGAGCGTTGACATCAGTCAAAAACTTGAAGGCAGTGAATTTGAGTGATGTATTAAGTATGTCTGTAGCATAGAGCTTAATCTATATATTTCTATGTTTACAATGATATTGAATGGGATATAAATATTTTTCCCCAAGAAAATTACTTTTTAAATAAGAGTTGAAACTGATAAACCAGAGTAACTTTTAGCTGTCCTTCTTCCATAGCCTTTCCTCTGGCCCAAATTTCATCACCAAGGATATTTTAGGACTTTCAGTACGTCTGTGGAAAATACTTTCAGAGTCTTGGTTTTCTCCAAACTGTTTCTGCCTTATCAATATTCTAAAAGCTTTCCACAAAAAGTTCGTCTTTAATATTCTTTCTACTACTGTTGCAGGAGTGAGCTCTGTTGGCCTAGTGGGTAGATTTGTACTGTCATTTCAAAGGCTGAGGGATGACAGTCTCCACCCATGTGATTTACAACCTCTGAAACCCACTGGATGGTCCATTACTACTCAAAAGTCAAGAAGCACTAACAATTAAAACCTAGTTAATTGCTTTTGGTCAAATATTCTTCTAAGTGGTAGAGCACTGGTCTGTCCATTTGCTCTACAAAGGTAGAGCAAATGGTAGAGTGTGATGCTTAAACACCGTGACACTGATGTGTTAAATGCAATAATGGTTATCTATGGTGGATAGTGTTTGATGGAAGAGTGGCATTCACTTCCGAAATTGTTTGCCTCCAGAAACTCTATGAACTTGGAGAAACGGTGAAAGTTATACAAGTGTTCAGATCTTTCATTTATAAGGTTGTTACGAGTCACCTACGACTCGTAGGGATATGTGATTTAGTATTATTGTTATAACAGGAGTCCAGAACAAAGGTAGCATAGTGAAGCGGACTTGGGGAAGGAATTAAATAACAATGAAATAATTTTTTCTTTTACTTTTCAAAAAGAAAAGTGAATTAGAAGAAAGGGGTGGGCAGGGAGAAAAGTGCAACAATGAGTGAATAGAAATTCAAAGTCTCTGTAAACTTTCATTAAAATAAAATTAAAAAACACAACTATTGTAATAGATCACACTTGTCTTATAGATTGGTTTTTTTAATAGTTTCCTTCTTTTTTATCTCTCTTTTCCTTAAACTCTACGAAGTTATGTTATTTTAGTTAATTTTTATTACAGAATTATTATTTGTAAGAATGCAATCATTTTACTCCATTTCTATAATGAAAAGAGCTGGGCATAATGGGAACATTTACTTAGTGTCCTGTATGTGTTTTTAATTACAATTAGTTGTAGTATAGTTGATTCTGACACATGCCAGTCCCAAATGGATAGAAAGGAGTTACTCCAGGGAGGTTTTAGGTTGTGATATTTCAGAAACCTGTCTCACTTGGGTGGATTTGAACTGCTGATTTTTCATCTAGTAGTTGAGAGTTTAATATTTTGTGCCACTGTAGAACTCACTTTTTTTGCCTAAAAGTATTTATGTCTACATTTTGCATTTGATGTAACTATTACATGTTTGATGAACAACTGAAGCTCTTTAACTGGTCAGAACCTATACAGAATATGGATTGAATAAAGGCAAGGAGTATATTCATGTGTTGGTTTGTTTTTTTTAACTTGGCTGTTTAATTTGCTGTTGTTACTGTGGTAGTTGTTTTATTGCACCAAATTCTAGCTTTGTAGTTTAGATCAATTCTTTATATTTGTGCCTTGTGGAAATTAAATGGTGTTATACACATATGTAAAATACTGAGTTATAATCCTGACAATACATTTGAAGTAGATGTTATCTGTCATTGTCATTGTTAATATTGGTATTATCTTTTTAATTCTGATATTTTTAAACTGTCTGGTGTTTTAAATTTCTGCACCCTTTAAATATCCTAGCTTTTGGAGGGCCATGTTGGGAAAGATGTTGGGTCAAAGAAAGAGAGAAGACTTTAAACAAGATGGATTGACACAATGACTGTAATTATATTAAGCATATTAGAGATTATAAAGACGGTGCTGGATATAGCAAATTTCAAACCTATTGTTCCTAGGGTTACTATGAGTCGTAATGGGCACATAGAACCTAACAATAAAAGCATAGTTTTAAAAAAACTCTAAAACATTGGATTGTAGTTTCTATACATAAACGTAGTGACTTGGTAGTTCACTGCTCCATTGCTAACTGAAAAGCTAGCAATTCAAGTTCACTACCAGCTTGTACATGGGAAAAGATTATAGCAGTTTTGCTTTTGGAAAAATATATAAATTTTGAAATGTTTTGAGGCAATTCTATTTTTCTATCAGATCTCTATGAGATTAAATTAACCATGAGCTTGATTGTTTGTTTTTGGTGTACACAGAGAACTGATATTTAGGTAGATTTTTGTTAATTGAGATTTTAATGAAAGTTTGTGAAGAACTTGGGTTTCCACTCAGGCGTTGTTGCACTTTTCCCTCCCTGCCCTCCCCCCCACTCCAGTTCACTTTTCTCTTTGGGAAAAAAAGTTATTTTATTGTTATACAGTCATCCCCACCTCCCAGGCCACTTTACTATGCAAATCTTATTTTAGACTCTTGATTTTAACAAAACAAAATGTAATTTTCTACACTGATCATTCACAAACACAATTCTCAAAAATCTACTATTCTATTTTAAAAGCACTTTATTTCCTATAGCAAATATATTTCTAATAAGCTGATCTGGTTGTACTATATTAGCTGTCTCATGTCTTATCTCTGAGCCTGAGATACAAAATCATGGCATGTCTTATAATAAAGTAAATTTAATTTGTAAATCATCAAAGCTGAGCTTATTTAAATTAACAAGAATACAAATATTAACAACGATATCGGTAATTATTGTCTACTATGTACTTACTGAGAAGGGAGGAGAGTCAGTAAGGAGAGGAAGACCCTCAATCAGGTTGATTGACACAGTGACCGCTGCAACGGGCTCTTGTGTGTCAGGAAGTGTGAGGATGGCAGAGGATAGAACAGAGGTCAGATCTGTTGTTCACAGGGACACTTGAGGTGTACTTGAATTGAAGGCACCTAACAGCAACAACTACATTGTCCTTATGCAATACTCTTTAGAGAGGAGGAGTGTTTGTTTGTAAGTGTGCCTCTCTAGTTGATCAAATCCACCAGCAGCTCCTCCAGAGGAAAAAAGACAATGTCTTCATAGATGATTTAGGGCTTCAGATCAAATGAAGGGCCAGCCGATCCCAAGAGAGGTGCTGCATGTGAGCTCGCAAGACAACTCCCTCTGAACTATGCCGCCACACTTTGCTTCTCTAAAAGCATCAAAGCATCAAACTCCTTCGTATATTTTAAAAAAGTAATATATTAAATCTCCTCCACACTTTTAGATATTTTAAAACTGTCACTTGCTTAATTGCTTTATTTTAGAATTTATTTGGCAATGTTCAGTCTAATTTTTCAGGAGGAATGACTGATTGTTACTTGAATCATTTCCACTTGCAATCCATGCATAAGTGTTGCAGTCATCTTCGGAGAAATGCAGAGAATGGATCTTTTCAGTTATGAATTTGATTTGAGTTGATAGAGCTTTCGAGATTTTTGGTCTTTCCACCTAAATGTAGTAATCATTTAAATAAACCTTTGGCTTAACCTACCTGTGCAAAGATCTGCTGAGTTTCAGTCCTAATCTTATTCCATGGAACGTGCTGGGAGGTTTTGCAAATATGCCTGTAGTCACTGAAGATCTTCCCATTAATATATCTGTTTTTATACCCTGAGCCCCTGAAGGTGAGTACTAAGCTCTCCAAATAAAACTTTGCTTCCCCATGGAAAACTGACAAATTAAGCTCATTAGGCAAGACTTAACTCTAAATTACACACAAACAGTAGAATATGTTGAGATAGTCTAGGGACTTGCTTAAATGATGATCATGTGTAACAAAAAGAAGATGTGTACACAGACACACACTCACCTCGCATCTGCAGGTTCACTGTCCTTTGTTAGAATGCGTGTTACTTCGGTACTTGAATCTATATATTCAGTATTTCAAATAGCAATAGGATCACCCATCAGAGACAGGTTTCAGTGGAGTTCCCAAACTGAAACAGACTAACAGACAGTGCTAGATATTCACTTCTACAATAATGGGCTCATGGACACCTTATAAATACCAATGGAACATTGTATAATGTAGGGGGAAATGAGTTCCTCAGGTCGAAGAGCTCTCTAGTAAAAATAACAACAACAACAACAAAAGTGTTAGCCAGCATTTTTAGGGCAATGTCAGTAGAATTGCCATGATTAACGACAGCAAAGAGTGTCCTTAGAAAATGTACATGGAAATTTGAAGGTGAGAGTCTACTCTGGTACAGTTAATGATACCCAACTTCCCTGCGTCTCAGAGCTTAGATCAGCAGGATGGCAAAGCTCTGGTGGATCCAAAGGCCTAAGAGAATGAACTCAGTCCCTGCTGTGAGATAATCTGGAGCCATTTGTTATGCGGCTGTTGACTTTAAATGGGAAAAATTTAAGACTTAATTTTGCTGCTAGAGTGTTAGAAGTCGTTTAAGTTTCATTTTAGACCAGTTTACTTTTCTTCCCTAAACT